AGCCCAGGTGTGCCAGGTAAGGGACTGGTTCCATGAAGCGGGGGGGGGGGGGAGAGAAGAAACACACACACAGAGAGAGACAGGGAAGACCGGGGTTCTGACTCCAGAGAAGGCAGCTCCTTATTTCTCTCCCGACTTTTGGTTAAATAGTCTAAAATTCAGTTTAGGGTTAGGGGGGAACAACCAAAGGAGAGGGGGATAGAAACAGAAAGAGGAAAGTGTGCGGAGTCACGGGGGGGGCTGAATGGGGGGGTGTTAGGCGAGGCCTTATTGCACTTCCCAGTTTGTGCCGAGGCCTCTGTGACTTCCAGGCCTTCTGCTCCAAGCCCTCCTAGGGAGGGGGCAGCTCCCGCCCTCCATTTCCCTGAATCCTCCCTTGTCATGGGTGGAGGCTGGCTGGGGGCCAGTGGGGGCAGACATCCACGGAGGGCTGTCCCTCTGCCTGCCACCTCTCAGAAGAAGGGCCGGGGGGGGGGGCTACAGTTGCCTAGGGATATCGAGTGTGGCTGGTGCTTCCCCCCCCCCAATGGAGGAACCAAGGCTTGGATCTCTCTTTCATGGACCCCTTTCCTTCCACTTGGCCCCAGTGCCCACAATTTCCTAACCTGTCCGGTTGGGTAGCGCTGTGTGCCGATCAAAGAGATCCTCAAGAGTAGCTGAGTCTGGTGTTGAAGAACATTCTTGGATTGCATCCCTTTTGCTCCCAAAGCCAAAAAAGCCCCCCTCGGACGTCTTCTGGCCTCCTTCCTGAGCAGGATTTCCCGTCCCCTGCTGGAACGGGGGGGGGAACCGCCCTGGGGGGAGTAATCTGAACCCCTGGGGCTGGAGGAGAGGGTGACCTTGTTAGATACCAGCTCAGGACAGTTTCCCAACAAAAGTCAACTTTTGATTTTTTTTTTTTTTTAAAAACCAACCCCCCCCCAAACATCCAAATACTGTGGAGGATAGAACATCCGACTGAGATTTCGTGCCTCTTCTTTATCCCTTACCCATTTGTGGTCCCTGCATATGAAGGACTTCATATCAAACCCTCAACATTTCAGATCCAGCAGAAGGGGGACCTGCGTATTTCAGTTGCCCACTTCCCTCTCCTTGTTTCCATTTACGTAATCCTCTCCTCGTCTCTCTTAGTCAAGTCTGTTAGGGTTTGTCTAGATGGGCCCCCTCTGCGCTGGGAAAGTGTGTTCCCTCCAGCGAACAATAGTTATTCCATTTTTAAATGACACCAAATAAGCACAGAATTTACAGGGGAGTGCAAGCGAGGGAAAATCCGTGTTTGATCTGCCTGCCAAGGAATGTGACAGAGGCAGGAGGAAGCCTGGCTCACACCCCAGGAAGGGGGGGAAAAAAACACCATATCAGACACTGGCTTTTTAAAACATTCTTGTTTATACAATAGGTAAATTGGATTTTTTACAAGGGCAAATGTAAGCCTATTTAGTAGAATATTTAATCTCACTATGCAATTGCTTGTAATTTTGGAAAACAACTTGAACTCTGAGTGGTTTTTTTTAAAACTTTGTTCGCACCCCCCCAAAAAAAATACAGCCCTTGAATTTAATTGCCAGTGGGATTAAGTTCTTAACCTCCCAACATTGCAGTGTGCACTGCATTACCATTTAGGGTTTTTAGAGAAGCCAGATGCACCTTTGGAAACGAAGGCCGGGTTTCTGTGGGTCGGACGCCAAAGGGCACGATCTCCGTACTAGAGTTCTTGCCTTGTGTTTAGCATCACCTTGCTTTGACGGTTGGTGTTCGGTACATAAAACCTCCCCCTCCCCAATTGATCAGTAAGCTAACGAAAGGACAGCTATGCAGAACAGAGGGTGAGAGGCAGGCCTCCCCTTTTAAGATGAATTGTGTAGGTGGGGAAGACTCAACTTTTCCAGTTGGCAAGAAGGAGCTGGCGGTGGAAGGGGCTCCGGAGTGTTCTGGGCAGTTGTTCTCAGCTTCTCCTACACGGCCGGCCGGGGTCGCCCGCTTGACCGTCAGAGTGCTTTTTTACCCTTTGGGGTCTTCAGGAGGTCTTGCCTATCTGACAGCCCAGACTCTGCCGGGAAGCAGCTGGGGGGGGCGCTGGGGGGGTTTGGGCAGGGGGCTTTTCCCTGGGCTGCCTGCTAGCGATGGATCTCCCACATATGAAGCAGGGGCTCCGCAGCTCAGCGGTGCCCCCCTCCCTCCGCCAGGAACGGGCCAGAGCATGGCCTTCCTCTTCAGCTGCTTTCTCCCTTCTAACGCCTCTTGGCATGAGCAGTTTCTGAAAACCACAACAACAACAAGGGGATCTGAAACTCCGTGGTGGCCTTGGGCACAAGTTGCAGGACAACAGTGGAAGCTTTCGTTCCTCGCCATGACTGTCCGTTTCCCATTCCCTTCAGCACCCACCATTGTTGGTGGTGGTCGTTCCAGCCATCATCCGTTGTGCTTTCCCCCCCCCACTCTTTTCAGAGAAATCCCCTCCCTTTCAGAGAAAGGGGTTCCCTGTGCTGTCCGTCCTAGCTCCACGTGACCTTCTCCCCCCCCCCCATCCTCTCAGATCTCTGAGGAAGAAGCTCTTAGGACCTTGAAGCCGGCTTCTCAACTGCCTGCCTCAGCCCGCTGTGGCTTTATATCCTCTGCTTTTTTGAAAGGGGGCCTGGATCAGTGAGGGGAGGTGCAGCGGGAAGGGTGGCAATCCTTCTGGGTCTTTCTTCAGTGGACGGCCCGCATCATCATCCGGTCGCCCTCCTTGGACGTGGGAGCTCCTTCGCTCCAAGAGGGTTAGGTGTCCTGTCTCGTGCCTGGCTGTTGTTGATGTCCGGAAGACATCGCCCATCGGCTTTTTTTGTGGTGGGTTGCAAATTTAGTGAATAAGTTACAAAGTACGTGTCTTTTCCAGCAGGTTTCTGAGTGGGGATGGTTGCGTTGGAATATTGGTGTTTAAACATCAAACACACACACAACACACACACACACACACCATACAGAGACCAAGCTTTTTAAAAAGCCGGGGTGGGTGGGTGATACACCAACCACAGGAGGGTTGTGAACGTCTGACCCTAACATTGCCTGTTTTCTCCTCAGCAGCTTGGCGATTACGTCACTTTGATCAGTTCCAGAGAAAAGGATGATCACGAAACCAGCTGAAATCTGCACTTCTCATTTCCTCTTCAACTCTGTAGCTGGTTGGCCACCCAAGGGATTCTGGCTCCTGAGGAAGTTCGTCTCCCTACCCGAGCCTTCTTTCTTTCGAAGTGCTCCGATGCGGTCTGTGTGGGACTGCCCTTGGAGACTGTTCAGAACTGAAGCTGGCCCACGTGGCTGCCTCACCCCGGCTAGCGTGGCACGAGCCCACGTTCGCGAGAGCCTGGTATGTGGGTCTTCTCGAGGACGAGTGTGGTTCGGGTTCCATGGTGCTGCTTTAGACCTGCCTTACGAGCCTCCCTTGTATGAGCCAGGTGCCGATGTGGTCTTTGTTGGCAAAAGCAGGCCTCCTGTCAAGGTTTTCGGATCACAGAGGGCCGTAAATTATCTGACATTTGAGCAAACTACCCTTCCAATCTAACTTCACCTTCAGAGGAACTAGAGATCAAATTCACTGAAAGACTTTGTACATGAAATATTCCAGTTTTCTATCAACTTCATCTCAAGTCCGGTGTATGTGCCCATCCAGCCCTTCTCTATCCCTGCACAAGGCGTGGTGGTCAAGCCCTCTCAGCTGTGATGTGTCTCCTTCCAGGTTCTGCAACAGGGATAGGAATGTGGACAAGACGAAAGGGCAGCTGGACGCAGCCACCCAAGGGGGGGGCTCTTGGTTCCTCTTTCTTTCAGATAAACTCACTGAAACAGCTTCCTTTTGGGGTGGGGTGGGGGATCTGCAGAGCTTTGCAGTTTTTGTCCACGAACCACCAGAGAAGGACTTTAAGTTTTCTTGTTGCTGGCCCGTCACATGGGCCCATGACTCATCCGGGATGATCTCTGTGGGCTCAGCCTCTTGAGCTACAAAAGGATGAGGGGCAGTGGGGGAAGTATCTTGTCCCGCCTGCTGGCTTCCCAGTTACAGAGGGAAGGAGAGGCCGTGGAAAGAGACCGCCTGCATCTCATCCCCCGTCTCCCTCTCGAAGTCGGTTACTGTGCAGGGACGTTATTAGGATGGGTTCTTGCCGCCCCACCTTCTTCGTCCTTTTCCTCTTCGTCTTCCAAGTTGCAAGTAAGTAAAACTGAGACCTTTGCAGTTACTCTTGCCTCAGAAATCCTGTGCGCTCGCTGTTCTTGAAAAACTTTAGGATTCACGGACGGGCCCACTGGCAGAGAGAGAAAACAGCCTTGTTTCCACCTTGTCTGAATAGGGCCATTCTTTGGGAGTCGGGTTCCACCTCCCACCCTAACCTTGCGAGTGGAGTTGATGGGAGGAAAGGCAGCCGGTGGCAAACCAAAACGGGGAGGGTACAAGGAAAGCTTAAAGGGTTTGAGCCCCCTTCCTTCCTTTCATTTTTTTTTCTAAGCGATTAGCTGGTTTGGGAAAAAGTCAAAACCACAAGTATGTGGTAGATATTAATAAATTTGTGCACAATTGAGTTTTGGCTGCTCCAGTGAAACAGCCTGGCAAGGATTTGCTTGCCAGCTCAATGCGAAGTATTGGTTTTGACCTACAAGTGAGGCTGGCTTCAAGCTGGTTGAGCTTCCAGATGTTGGCCATGCTGCCTTGTTCTGTATGGCTGCGAGATTTTTTAATTTGGTTTCCAAATGGCTTTTAAAAAATTATTTAAAGAAAGTCATGCGCTGTCTTCCATTTAATCATGATGCCAAGAAAAAGAAGTCGAAGCAACATAACCCTGCTTGTTGGTATCTTGGCCCAATTTTGTGTCAGTGGGTTTAGGAAAAGCAAGAAAACCTCTGTTAAAATTCTGTCCCTAACCTTGAACATAACCTCATCGTAAATCTTTAATACACTGGGATGTTCCCAGGGGTCAGGAAATATCCATAACTTTGTAAAGAAAGGTGGTGGTTGTTTTTTAACTCCTGGTTCATGAGGGCCGACAGTGCCTTCCCTCAGCTGGAGATACAATTTTGGGGTGAGGAGGAGGTTAATTAAGTCGATGCTGGTGCCAGGCCATCACGGGTGACAACCCTTCGCAACCGGAGGACTTCATCTCTGTCCACCTCTGAGGGACTGCCTCAAGGCGCACCTCACTGATTTGGTGTCTCTCCCTCTCTCTCTCTCTCTCAAGAGAGGCCTTGCAGGTAGACGATGGGTCCCGGCTGGTGTCAGCTGTGCCGGATTTTGAGCAGAGGCAGTTTTATGGCAAGGGCAAAGGTTCTGTTGAAAGAGCCATGTTGTCTGGTTTGTGAGCTTTTAAAGCTCCTGTTCAAGGACCTTTCAAGGCATGTTCAGAGATGTTGGGTCAGGAATTCTTCCAGGGCTGAGCCACTCTCTTATCAATCCTGAGTCCAGCTCCCCAAATAACTGGAAGATAGTGGGTGCACAGGAGGGAGCTGGGCCAGGCCCCAGGGAGGGAGCTCTGCCACTCTCGAGATTTGAGAAGGTCTCCTCGGCCCTTCTGTGACTTGAGGGCGCTCTCTCTCTCAGTCTCTCTCAATCTCTCTCCCCTACCACGTGTGCCTTTTCTCTTTGCACAGGAGCTGTGGATCCCTCCACGAATCTCAGCTGTAATTTGACGAGCTCTGTGGATCTTAAGACAGGACTTCCCAAAGGGGCCAATTTCACAGTCCTCACTTTGCATTCCCTCTCGAGGAAGAAGGTCGTGGCTCTCTTGCAGGCCAACACGCCTCTCCAGATCTTGGACCTCCATTACTCCAAAAGAGTCACCTTCGTGAAAGAGACTGGCGCCTTCCGCATCCATAACCTGAGCCTGGCGGACGGGGGGACCTACGACATTTATAGGCAGACCTCGGACAGTTCCACCGAAACATTGAAGACATACACACTGTTTGTGTTTGGTAAGTCAACTCTGAGAACCCTGAATAAGCCTGGCTGTGCGGGTCAGCCTTGAAGGACCAGGACGGTGAGTTTGGCAGTTAGCGAATTAAGAAACAGAACAGAATCTCTCGAGTTCAGCTCTAAGTAATGCCTGCCATGACTGACAACTTCTGAGTTCCGTGGATTTCCAGGAAACTCTCGGTTCCTCATGCAACAGTTGTGTTGTCTCTTTCCCAAGAGGGGCAGGAAGGGTTGTTCTCCAGCAGGACGGTTGGTGCTTAGCACAGCCTCCAGCTTAAAACAAGTGCTGTTGAGGGGNTCTTGGGGCTTCCCGGCCATGGACGTCCATTGACACCCACAGCCTTTTGGCCGGGATCTTTGGACGTCAATGGCTGAGTGTGGCAAGACCTTTGCTGCTCTCCAGCTATGACGCAAACGGAGAGCAGGCAGAGACTGGCTCTGTTCCTCCTGAACGACGCCTACCAAATGCAGGAGGCTCGTCCGCTTCAAGGGATCATGAGACGGTTCAGTCCATTAACTCTCTAGTGGAGGTGGCTCATTTTGCAAGACCTTCGCTGTGAACCAGGTCCTCCTTTTGAGGTAAACGGGGGCAAAAGAAGTGTGAACTACAGATCGGGCTGGCCCGTGTTGCCTTCTCTTCAAGCGTGACGGAGAGAAAGCTGCTCAGAAGGGCCGTGGCAAGACAGCAAAGAGGGCCCTGCACTGCAGGCCCCCCCCCGGCCCTGGGGGACGGCCAAGGGCCTGTCCCTGCCTACTTTCCATCTCCTGGATCGAGACCATGGTGTTCAGAGTGGGGGTCAGATTGAGAAAGGGGCCACGTCTCCTGACTGTCGCCTTTGCTTTCCCACAGACATCAACATCACGGCAACCTCGCTGGCGAACCGTTCTTGCAGCCTGGATTTGCTCTGTCAGGCGGGCGTGGGGACGAGAGCGAGCAGAGAGAGGTACACCTGGAAGAAGACGGCCTCGGGGGAGACCTTGTCCCAGGAACCCCGGCTCCGCCTCGTCATGCACCCCGAGAACAGCCGAGACTCTTACACGTGCACCGCCCAGGATGGCGTCTCTCAGGGCGCGTGGGACGTCATTCCCTACCCGCAGTGCAGTCACTCTGGGGCTACAGGTAACGGACCCGTAGGAGCTGAATGGGGGGGGAGGCATTTCCGAGGCCGGGGCTGCCTCTTCAGTGGGTGCCTCTCCTCGCAGGGTCTCTGGGCTCAAGGGAGGGGGCTTTTCCTCTCTGGGCGGTGGAAGCCTTTTCCCACTGGGTGGTGAAAGGACGCTGTTTTCTCCTGGCCCCGTGGCGGGTAGGCCAAACCCAAACAGCTGCAACAAATATTAGAGATAACGCCGCTTGCCAAAGGAACATTATTTTTGAGATCGAAGCAAATTTGTCAGCTGGGTTTTTCAGAAGAGCTCCATTCCTGAAGTTTGCAGAAGCAAATGGTTCTGCCTGTAGCAGCTTTTTTAGTTGTTTTCCTGCCTGCATTATTCATCGGCTTCATTACTGGGTCCTCAGCCGTTCTTTTTGAAGTTCCTTAAGTCATGGTTTTGGCTAACCCCGTGCCGCATGGCGGTGGTGTCAATGAAGAAGCAAACAAAGATTGCTGTTTGCGCAGAGGCCAATGGGTCTGTGGATGGGCACAGAGCCCCACAGACGCCCCCTGTGTGTTTTATAAGGGGTAGGGAGAGAAAAGGGGTGGGGAAGGCATTTGCAACGCTGGGGGGCAAAAGCCCTGGAACAAGAACCCCACCAAGAACAATTCTGTCCCTCCTTCAAATCAAGGGATGTGTGATGGCGGGCTGCGGTCTAGTTGCATTAGGGGGAACCCCTAAGCGAGAGTTAGCACAACAGACGGAGCGAATCAGGCAGTGAAGTTGGTCTGTACCTGCCCGAGCATTGCCGGGAAAAGCTCCTCTTGTGGACGTCAGCGCCGAGAATCCTCCAGCTGGCCTGGTTGGTGGGGAGCTTCACGTGGACCCTTCGCCGGGGCACGGCAACCCTTGCAACGTGGCCAAACTCTCCTTAAAAGGAAGCCACGCTGAACAGAGGAGGACATGCCTTTTATGCATTACTTAGTTCCCTTTTTAGCCCACCTTTGTGCTAGAAAATGTGCTTAAAACATCTAAGAAACAATAAAAGCAAATTCAGCATTAGAAGTATGAAGATCACCGTAGTAATCTTTTTTTTTTTAAATGAAAAGAATTTAAAAAGCCAATTTAAACAGATGGATTTTCACCACCACCACCCTCCTGAAAGCAGCAAGACTGGGGGATATGGATTGCCACGCTGTGGGTGATCACGGAAGAAAGGAAGGCTGATTGCCTTAGAGGGAAAGTCCGAGCCAGCGGGGCCAACTGGCAACGCCCTGAGGGCTCTTTTTATTGACTTAGCATGAATATATAGTATGTTATGAGAGAAACAGGTAGGATACGAGTTCCCTAATCCTTCCCAGGAGTGTTTGCATGTCACTGGAAACAGGGTGTCTCGTGCAAGGCTCTCACCGCTACACCAGGCCATATAAGGTGGCTGTCAGTTTGGCTCCTGATCCCCCAGAGTAAAACCAAAGATTTCCAGAGTTAACAGGAGTTTAATGAATTCCTGAAACTTATGAAAGACGGGCTGGCCAGGTGAAACTAAACCCCCTCTTGGGTCACTGAAAACAGCTCAGGAGGGGAGTAATCGGCATGCTTATTACACAACACATTCTTAACACATAACACACAGAGCCACCTTGAATGACCCACTCTGAGGGAAGTTGCAAAGGATGGCACTTGCTCGGTCTTAGAATGGATTTTGCAAGCATGTTTTCAACAAGGAAAAAAAATCACACGGATGCAGCAATGGTGGTGGTGGTGGGGATTTGAGACAATGCGATTTCGGCAAAGTTGGAACCCTTCAGCCTGACCGTGGCTTGATTATTCCTATGATCTCAGAGAAGAAAAAAAAATTACACGGATGCAGCAATGGTGGTGGGGATTCGAGACAATGCGATTTCGGCCAAGTTGGAACACTTCAGCCTGACTGTGGCTTGATTATTCCTATGATCTCAGAGTCCTTGTGGCTCAGGCAGGCAACTTGGCCGTGGCCACGAGAGCCCTCCACAGGAACGTCTCTTAACGCCCCCACCCCCTGTCTCCTCTCTCCTTCCCCAGGGCATTTGCTGTCTGGCCTGCCAAGGTTGTCCTGCCTTCTCAGTGCTGGGCTGGTTGCCCTCGTGGTGCTGCTGTGATGCCAGCTGCCGACAGGTGTGGAGATGATGAACCCGCCCACCCTCCCACCCCACCCGGCTTCGGAGCGCCCGCTTGAAGGCTTCTGCTTTGTCTTCCTGTTGCGGTTGGTGAAAGTTGCTCCCCCCCCCTTCGTTCCCTTGCTGTGAAGCAAATGAGAGAGCTCTCCGATGAATGGGATGCTGGGCGGGGCCCGACCGCTGAACTTGCACAATCACGCACACGCACCCTCGGAGCCCCTGGTGTGGTGGTGGCACAACAGTCAAGCGCGCACGTGACTTCTGAGAGATTGCACCCGTCATGGCGTCCCTTTGCACTCTGGACCACTTGCCACTTTTCTCTGGTTCTGGACGAATCCTTGCCCCGGTTTGGCCTCCCCCATGTTCATTTGGGTTGTGGGGAGAGGGAGGGCTGGCGCTGTCCTTGTTTTGGGTCCGGCCCCCTTCCTGAGCTCAGTCTCATGGGACGCTCCTTTCTGCACAGAGGCCGGGCTCTCCTGGCAAGGAAGGGCCCTTTGGCCCCGAAACCTGGACGTGCCGGGCCGAGCCGGCCGACGGGAACTCCCCCTGGGCCCCAGGGTCTGGCCTCATGGTGGGCGGCCGGAACGGGGGGTTGCATCCTGTCTCAGGGTGCCGTCAAACCTCACTGCGCTCACTCTCTGCTGGCACACACACACACACACACACACACACCGAAGCCCCCTGCCTTGTGTTGTAACTGCTGGGCCTGTGTCCTGAATGCTGTATATACACTTCTGCTGGAGGAGGCTCTGTTTCCAGTGTTTCTTTAACCCAAAGACTCAATTTCCCCCTTTTGGCTTTTGAACTGGGGCAGTGTGTGTGTGTGGGGGGGGCGGTTGCACAGGGAGCCGAGACCTCCAGGAGGAGGTGGAAGTGGGTGGTGGGTGGTGGGAGGGAGTCCTGAAGAGACCCTTGGCGTCAACACCGGGGTGCTTTCCGCCTGTCCCTAGTTTCTCCAGTGGAAGGTTGGGGGTGTGTCTTTTGGGGGGGCACATAGGAGAGCCCGGATTAAAGGAGGCCCTTCCAACCCACAGTCCTTTTTCCAGGAGAAGAGGAGACGAACTTGGGGAAGGGGGGGAAGAACCCCACCCCTCTGCTTGGGGGGCAAACACAGAGCCAGTCCTTTCTAGCACGTGGGCGGGGGGGCATTTCTGTCTGGTGTCTCCCCAGTTCGTGGACCCTGGAAAAACTCAGAGGGTGTGTGTGTGTATGGGGGGGGGGGGGGGTTGGGGATGTTCTCTCTCCACTCGTCCAGCAGGTGGCAGCACCATACTGGGCTGGGTTTGCGGCTGGATGACACAAGCGTTGGGCAGAGGTGAAAGCAGAGGCAGGCTCTGTGTATGTGTGTGTGCGTGCGCGCATGCAGAGTCCTTGTACCCCCCACATGCCCTTCACCCAACGGATTCCCACAGAGGCCTGAGTGAGCAGAGACCCTTTCCTGCCTCCCTCTGGTCCCGTACCTGTGTTGTACCAAGTTGTACGTCAGCCACCTTTATTCCAGGGGTAGGAATGGGTGGTGGCTGCTCCGTTGTACACATACACAACACACACACACACTCATACAGATGGGAGACGAAGCTGTGTTGAACCTCGGAAGCCCCCAGGCCTGGAAGTGCTTGGGGTTGCGGAACAGTCTGGCCCTGCCCATAGCTCATCGCCTTTTTATGCCTTGGAAAGAGCCTCACCCTCTTGCCCTTCTTCCTTCCTCTTCCAGGCCTTGCAGGAGGGAGGGCCAGAGCGTGCGTGCGTGCGTGCGTGCGTGTGTGGGGAGACCTAGCAGCTGGGAGGGCCAGAGCGCATGTGTGTGCGTGTGCGTGTCGTACATGACACACGGTTTCCGTCTTCTAGTGGCCGGGCTGAGGTTCCCCTTCCATGGCAGAAAGCAAAGGAGGGTGGGGGGGGGGTCTTCCTTTGGTCTTGAGCGTCTCCCCCGGCTCAGCTTCTTCCAAGTCGCCTGCAGGTGAAGAGGCCTCCAGAACGTGTCACGGCTCAGCCGGGGCATCCTGCTTGCCAGCCATGGGCGAAGGGCCGCCGTGGCGCCTGCCTTGCCCCTGCTGCCAATCAGAGTCTCAGTTCCCGCCCCCCCCAAGGCTACCACCACTTCCCTGTCCTCCGTCCCTCCTGACTGCTGAGATGGCGACGCAGCCCTTCTCTTTCATCACGGAAGCCTAGCCTTGCCAAGGAAAAGGGTCTCCGGGGAATCACCTGGTCTCCCCCTCCCACTGGTGCGGGAAATGCAGAGCTGAAGTGCCCCAGAGCCTCCAGGAACAGAGAGCCTGCCACGTCCCCAGAAATCCACGGCTCCACGGCCAGAAAGCTTCACGAGGCCCTTCCTTTCCCTTGAACTGGCCTCCTCTCCCTTTTCCTCCCGATCCATTGGTTCAGGTCCTGCTTTCTGGAGCAGCAGAGCGGATGCTGCTCCACCTTCCATGGGACTATCCTTCGGAGATTGATAGATG